GAAATGGAGTCAAGAGAAAAGCAGAGGCAGTGTACATCCATCAAACTGATCTAGAGCGTATTCCTTAAAAGGATAAATAGAAGTTTCCATCAGTGGAAGAGAATAATATCCCAAGGTAGAGGAGAAGTGATTGAAGATACGTTCTTTCCCTTGCAGGTTTCACTAGCCCTGTTTCTACTGAAGTCTTGGGAGTTTATGAAATGAAGATTGGTTCCATCACACTCCAAGTACTTAGTGGAGATATTACCAAGGAAGATACAGAGGTTATTGTAAACATAGCAAATCCGTCTTTTGATGTCAAAACAGGTATTGTATTAAAGATGTAGTTCTTTAGGGATAAATTAGAGTTAGGTTTTAGAAGGGGGTAGGGGAAAGAATTGTCCATACAGGAAATTTTTATGAAATATTTTTCAGATCAGAGAGGGAGGGATTTGTGATTAATCCTGATATAGATCTTAAATAGCTTTTTTGCATGTACTGAATATTTGATTTAGTTTCCAAGTAGAAGGCATCTGACCAGATTTTTCTTGCTTGAAACCAAAAATGTTTAAATAAAAGGGAATTTTCAGATCTAGGAGAATTCTGAAAAACTGCTCTTGTCCTAAAATGTTTCATTCTAAGGCAAAGTCCTGGTTAAGTAAATTGACCTGTAAGAAGCAGAGGGTTCTGACACTGAGAATGAGACACATGAAAGATACCAAATGATAAAATGCAAAGCCATGGGAGAGTTTGGTGAAGGTCATATGGGTTTAGCTGGTGAAACGATGAAATAGGAGTTGTTCTTAATGATTTGTAATCAGCAGTGAAGGCAGTGTTGTGTCTGCAGCCAGTGCAGTGTGTCATGGAGGGTACTTAGGGGAACGGTCAAGGTTTTGCACTTTGTGGGATCTTGCCATACAAGAATTCAGGGCATTTGTAGAGTAGAGAAGTTGGGCAGAGTTTTGAGTCGAGATAGGTGACTTAACGAATGCCTGTGCTTTTCTTGTGTGATTTAAGGAGTCTTCAAAGCCATTATGGATGCTGCTGGTTGCCAGGTGGTAAACGAATGTGCTCAGTATGGTATGTTGATGCATGTTGAGGCACACTTTTTGGTTTGATTAATTTGTGTATTGTTGTTCTCTCTGAAAATGTAAAGTTGTTTTGTAATTCTCTATTCTGATGGCATAACTGTTTTACCTGAAAAAGACAGCTTTCACTTTCAGGAATTTTGAAAAGTCCCCTTCCTGTTTTGACACCTACTTTGAGAATTTTTCTTTTCCCAGTTGTTTAGCAACAACTTAGACATCAGTGTGTTATGCACATTATTGTCATCCTGGATCCAAAACACGGCCCTATACCAGCTGCTAAGAAGAAAATTAACTCTATCCCAGCTGAAACCAGGACAACCCTGATCATAATTCCTCTGTTCTCTGCATTCTGGCAGAAGAGTAGAGCCGTAAAATTCCAGCTCCCTGGGGTTGGCCTCTATGAGCAGAGAAAGGCTCATAAAAAAAGCAGTGGCCTAAGAAAGGATTTCTCATAGAAATGACTTTGGCATGCTTTTAAATAAAAGTGAGCTGTATTTAAAGTCATCCTAAATTCTTAAATTGCAAATTTAATAATTCTTAAATTGGAAATTCTTAAATAGGAAACTGCTTTGTAGCAGAGATCTCAGGAAATTGAGATCTCACACATTTACTTGAACTGATTCCTTAAAGAATCTCTGCATTCTGTATTTACACAGAAAACCAGAGAATCAGTGAAACCCAGAATAATGTAGCTTGCAGTAGATCTCTTTCCCCTTTTTCATGTTCTCTTCAAGGATCAGTATAACCAGCTGTCCTACCAGAAGAGAAAGGCACTTTAAAAGTCTCTCCTTCTTTATCTTCTCTCTTCCAGCTGGGCAGCATCAAAGTGCCTTTATTACTACACAGGGTGGAAATCTGTTGTGCAGTAAAATCATTCACTTGCTTTCCAGTAACGACGTGAAGTGTCAGGTCTCCAAAGTGCTTAAGGAGTGTGAGCAAAAGATGTACAAATCTGTTGCCTTCCCAGCTATTGGAACAGGTTTGTGTTTTCTTGGGGAAGCAACGAGGGCTGTGATGGGGATAGTTCAGAAACTGGGGAAAAGTTAATATGGAGAACAGTAGACTTGTACAGGAAACTGTTCACTGCTACGTGCCTTTTCTTTTTGTTTAGGTCAAGCAGGACAGAGTCCAGCAAAGGTGGCTGATGAAATGTTGGATGCCATAGTAGAGTTTGCAAGCAAAAAATCAGTACAGCATTTGCAGACAATTAAAATCGTCATCTTCCAGACAAATATGCTGAAGGACTTTTATGAAAGCATGAAGAAAAGAGAAGATTTGGATTCATCCACCGCAGATTCATGGTTTTCTGTGTTTAAATGTAAGTAGGTGGATTTTCTGTGTGCATGGGCAAATTGGAGTTCTTCTGTTTACAACTAATAATTGACATATATTTATCTACAGCCTTCTTTTGGG